CGCCACGGCCCGGGCGGAGCAAAGGGTACGACCTGCGGTGACTGCCGGGCGCGAAACGCGCCACGGCTTCAGCGCGGAGTGAGGTCCGTAAGGGCCATCTTCTTGGCTACGTCCTTGGACGTAGCGCGGGCGTCCCAGATGTACGTCTGAAAGGATTCAGACGTCCAGCGCCCCCACCGCTTGACGAGGGCGGCGTCGCCGAAAGCTGCCCAAAGGGCTGAAGCCCCTCCGAAGCGTAGGCTGTGGGTCCCTAGGGCTCCTTCGGGCTCTCCCAGGGCCTCAGCTGCTTTGCGGATCAGGGTCGAAACTAGGGTCCGTGGAAGCGGCTTGCCTTCCGTGTCCCGAAAGAGGAGCTCCTCTTCCTCAGGTCCTCCCGCAAAACACAGGGGGAAAGCCCTGAAGAGCTGAGCGGCCGCTTTTACCGGGCAGAGTAGCAAACCGGTCTTGTAGTGGTTGCGGTACTCTCCTCGGTTGTAGACGTCCGTCTTTGACCCTCGGATGAACACCGTAAGTTCATCCGCTTCTTCAAAGTCTCGAAGTGAGCAGGGTTTTCCTCCCCGCGTCAACCTCAAGTCCTTACCCCTCAGCCCGCGCAGTGGGGAGTGGTATCCCGTGTCCAGGTATTCAGAGGCTCGGAGAAGGAAGAAGAACGCCAGGCAGAGGGCCCCCCATTGCAGAGCGGCCTCTGCTTGGTCAAGCGTCCCCCCATGAAGGTGCGTATAGAGCCATCGTAACATCTCCGGTGTTACTGGTCTGCGCCGCTCCTTCGTGCCGTACCTTTTCTTCAGCCCTGCCACCACGAGCGCAACTCTGGGGAGTTGTGCGAAGGGGTCTGGGAGCCCACTGGTGATGTGGAAGGCCCGAATCGCTGCCAGCCTGCCCTTCACAGTGCCGGGAGCCTTGTCGGAGTTCACTCCACAGTGCACCACATACTGCACAAAGAGGTCTTCCTCTGAAGCAGAGTACGTGGCGACCCTCCTCCAGGGAGAGGTACCCCTCCGGGCGCAGAAGAGCTCCCACCACCGCCACTGGGAGAGGTACGACTTCTGAGTAGTCTCTGCTAGCCTGGCCAGGAGAAGGTGGAGGGTCTCCGCCTTGCACTCTCCCCCTCCTTGCAAGTGCGCCACTCGGAGTTCCTTGCTGTCCGGGTGGAGTTGCCGAGCCTTACTCGGGCCTCCCACAAAGGGTACCGTGACTGGCGCCGGTGTTTGGGCTTTCGTTCTAGCCCCTCTGCGTGTGGGGGGTACGATAGGCCCAGAGTCTTCGAAGCGCACTGAGGCTCCTGCCCTCCTCAGTCTCTCGGTCTCGGGCGAGATGCTCGCCTCGGGGCCTGGGGCTGAGAGACGCTGGTCTGCCCTACACCCTTGTAGGAGCACAGCCCCACCAACTACCACAAGGGTTAAAACCACGACCGCGACCGGAGGGAGGGTTAGCCCTTCAAGCGGGGCAGCTTGGGCGTAAGGGTGGTGTGTTCGGCCGGAAGAGCTCTCGCCCCGGCCTCGGATGTGGTTGCATCCTGGCTCGTGGTAGCAGTCTCCCGAGGCGGTGACCCCGATTCGCTGGGGGAGGCGCACTGGATTAGCGCGCCGGGCTCCTTCCTTTCCGTGCCACAGCACCCACCGCCAGGAGGGCCAGAAGACAAAGGAGCAGCATCCCCGCGTGAAGAGTTAGGCAGGACTCGGTGCACCTTGGGAAGGCCAGCAGAGAAGGGAGGGCTTCTGCTTTTGAAGGGAGAGACGCCACTGCTACCGCAGCCAGGGAAGAGGCGGCAGCAGTAGAGGAGCTAGCCTTCGCCTTGGCCTTGCGCTCAGGTTCAACCCGGCACGGTACCTTTCCTCCTCTTCGGCCGCTTGGGCCACTCGGGCCCTTTCCTGTCGCGCGGCCTCCTCGAGCCCTTGTCTGCTGGCCCTTCGACCCTCGGCGAGCTGCCGGAGTCGCTCGAGAGTCTCGGCTTTCTCTGTGCCGCTCGCGTTGACTTCCTGACTTCCAGGAGCGCTTGGGACAGGTTGGCCCAGTTGGCGTTGTCTGCCTGCGCCACTGACGCCAGAGACAGCTTGGAGGACCCGAAGACCACCTTCCTTCGTCCCTTACCAGGTGGGTCCGCCGAAGGGGCTCGAGACTCTCTGCCTGTGGCGGCCTCCTCCTCGGCTCTTGGCAACGTCTCTTTCCCCAGAGTCTCGCTCGGGGGCCTCCGCGGTGGAGCCGGCCCCCGGGCCTTCCTTCAGTACGACAGGGGCTGCTCCTTGGTCTGAAGAAGAAGTCCTTTGCAGGTCGTAGGTCGGAGCAAAGGACGAGCTGGCTCGTTCGCAAGTTGAGCGTCGGCCCCCAGTCGCGAGCTGCCTCCTCCACGTCACTGTCCCCAGTTTGGAGGGAGACTACCGTGGGCTGGTCCCGGCGCACCCCTTCCTTCTCGCCTTCGGTTCGGGCTCCGGGCGCGGAGCGCGCCTCGGGGCCTTCCGTTGGGGCTTCCTTCATGGGTTCGTCCAGGTCTTCCTCCCCAGGTTCGGCCTGGACCACAGCAAGGTCCTCTTCGTCTAGTTCGCAGTTCCCTTCCTCGAGATCCTTCGTGACTTTTGCCCGGTCTGCGGCTTGGGTGTCCAGAGTCTCCGCGTCGACCACGAGGTACTCTTGGTCGTGGAGGCTAACCTGCGCTAACCTATTGGCGACCTCAGCGACTTCGTCCTGAAAGGAGGCTGGCTCGGTAGGGGGCCAAAGACCAGCTGTGTCGCCGGTGCTGGCCGCGGCGGTCCTTCGGTCCACACCTCCCACCAGGTTGTCCCAGGGCCCATAGTCCAGGATGCAGCTTGCTGGCACAATTTCGTGGGAGAGGTACAGGCCGTTGCCGGTGCGTCTGAAGGTGCATCCGTTCCTGGAGGCCGCCCGTGGGTCAATGGTGACTTTGACCTCCAAGTCGTTCCTCCAGCGCCTCTGGTGGCACTCCGGGTCCTGAAAGTGTAGGTCACGCCGGGTCCTGAGGAGGCCATTCGCCTTGATCGAGTCGAGGTGGCGCCAGTACGTCCCATGGACGAGAGCTCGTCCTCCGGCACCCGCCACCCTGGGCCGGTGACGTCCGGGATGGTGTGTCCCGACCAGGCGGCGATCATGTGATCGCCTTCTCCACCAGCGTCGTACCAGGAAATCCTGGCCTTTGTGTTGTTGGTGACGGCGGTTCTCAGCTGCCTCTCGTCGACTCCCAGGCGAGACAGGGGCTCAAACCTCAAGGCGTCCCGGACTAGGACCCATCCGTCCGCCGTGATGGGTATGTCTCAGAAGGCGGGAGAGTTATCCACCTCCAGCCTCCTGTCCTTGGACTTCCCTTTCTTACCGCTCCCTTTCTTACCGCCCTTTCCCTTGGGGGGCCCACCTGCGAGCCGGTCGGGCACCGGTCGGTACCCTGTGCGGTCGGTCCACGAGGTCATCAGCTCAGAGGCTTCTCGTTCGGCTTGCTTGGCGCTCGGGCCGAGCGTGCCACGGCCAGTCGGGGGCTGGTCCTTTGCACTTCCAGGAACCCCTTCCTCGGAGCCGGGCGCGGAGCGCGCCGCAGCTCCGGGGGGGTTCCCCTTCCGCGCGGTCCGCCCTCCTCTTGTCCACCCACCCAAATAAGCGCTCGCGAGTGTGCGCGTCCCACGTCAGCGCGCAAACCCCTGCCCTGACGCTCTCTACGGGCTGCAAGCTCGTGCCGGGGGCCGTCAGAACTCTCGCCACCCAGACCGTGGCTGCTTCTGCCAGTGCAAGGGCCGGCTCTTTCAGGCCCGCTTTAGCTGTTTCGTCCCAGCTGCAGCCCGGAAGAGGGCCCGCAAGGCCAAGGCCTAGGAGGCCCCGGTTCCTTCGGGTCCTTCCAAAAGCAGCCAAAGCGAGTCGTTCTGAGGGGCCTGGCCTTCCGCAACCCAGCTCTTGGCGTGCAAAGCTGGGAGCGGTCTCTTGGGGTCCCAGAGGAGCTGGCGCTTACCGTCTTCCAGCTTCAGCCCTTTGTAGTGCCAACCTCCTTCGAAGGTTTTAAGCCACCTCGGGTTGTAGACGCGGGCGGGGGTCGCGGGCTCATCGCGAGCTGAGCCAAAAAGGAACCCCGCACTTTGTTTCCTTAGCTTCGGGGAGTCAGAGAGACTGCTGCCCTCGGCCCCACAAAGCACCCACCGACGCCGCACTGCTGGTCCTCCAAGGTCCGTCCACTGCACTGTTGGACGTGAACCTCCCAGCTTCCTCGCTCCCGGAGGAGCTGGGCGATCCGCTGCAGCGGCTCCTGCGTCAGGCTGTCCACCCAAAGAGCTTTGGTCCGGGCGCGAAGCGCGCCACGGACCAGCTCCTCAGGGGACAGCGAAAGCGGCACTAGGCTGCACACCAGGAGGTCTGGCTTACTTGGAAGCTCCTGCTGCAAAAGGCCCGCGTCGGCGCAGGGCCCCGGCTCGTGCACTGAGACTTCTGCGCCCAGGGCTGCAAAGGCGCGAGCGTACCGCCCCAAGTTGGGGCGAAGCTCCACTACACTCAGAGCTAGGAGCCCCGAAGAGGGCTCAGCCATGGCTGCGGCGAGCGGCGTCCCCGCTCGAAGAGTTGAAAGACGGAGCGCACAGCTGCGCCCCACGTCCCGTTCGTTGTGCCCCCCAAACGAAGGCCCGTTTGAGCCAACCGCGGTTTAAAAGCTGAAGTAAAAACCCCTCGACCCCTCCTAAGTCCTTCAGCCCTTTAGACCTCATGACCTGGGTGGGTTCCTCCCTAGTTAGGGCGTTGGCGGTGAGGTTGTGGTAGGTCCTAATATAGGCAAAGTACATCCTAAAGTTGTAGACGCTCTCGAGGACGGTGAGGAGCTGCAGGAGGAACGAGGGGACTTCACGATGGGTGTGTCTTTTTTCGAGCCACGCTCCTACAGTCTGGTTGTCTCCTGCATAAGCTACCAATCGGCCCTTCCATTCAGGGCCCCTGGCAGCGGCTAGAGCGACTACCGCCAGAAGCTCAGTGACCGAGACGATAAGGTCCTCGTCGGGGCTGGGCTCGAAAGCGAGCTCTTCCGCCCCTTCCCGCGCTTCCGGTGAGGTGATGAGGGCTCCCTGAACGAATTCCAAGAGGGGCCTGCGAAAGACATCAACGGGCAGGGAAAACGCGTGGCCTGAGGTCCAGTCCACCGCAGCGACCCTGTCAAGGGTCGCGTCTCCGGAGGCCCACACAACCGACCGCCGAAACTTGGGCATAGCAAGCAGCTCCTGCAGGCTCATGGCCGAAACCATCGGGTGCGTGAAGGTGGTGGACCACTCTTCGCGGACCCCGATCAGGTACCTTTGCACCTCGACTGCTTCCCAAAACCTGACCCAGGCCCTTTCGCGAGCAACCGGAGTGAACCCCCTAGGGACAGCTTTGCCCACTCCGTCAGGAGGTCCGAGGAGCGCGTTGGTGGCCCCCAGGAGTCCCGAGAGGACCGGCATAGCCGAAAGCCAGAATTGCTGGTTTCCACGCAACTCCTGCACAAGGGAGAGGTCCACGGCCCGGTGCCCGTAGCTGAAATCGGGCAAGTTAAGGAGGTGGGCAGCTTTCAGAAGCTTAGGCTCCGGGAGGCTGCGCGTGAGGAGGTCAGAGTCGTAGAGCAGCCCCCAGATGATCTTCGAGGACTCGAAGCGTCCCTCTTCCCAGTCCTTTTCCTCGTTGATGGCTTTCTCGCCCAAGGCGGTTCTGGTGAGAGTCTCGAGGGTTTCAGCCGCGACGGCTGGTCTCAGGCCCACATCCGGCTCCACCAAAACCGAATCGTCCATGAGGATCATGGTGAAGAAGGGGGTGGCATCGTTGACGTGGGGTTCGGGAGGAGCGAGCGACTCGAAGGCTGTCTTTATGACCCATGCAAAAGTCATGTAGTGTCCCGGCGCCCCTCTCCAACCGAAAGTGAGGACTCGATAGATGGCCGTGATGTCACGGTCCACCCCAAACTCTCCCCCGGGGAGATCCGCCGCAAAGAAGCGTACATCAGAAGCTCCCAAACAGATCCACTTGAAAGCCTCCGCCGTATCTTTCTTCGCAAGGCGCACCGGGACCCCTGGAAACCTAGTGGCCCACCAGAGGATGAGCCTCGCGAGCTCCGAGTGGTCCGAGTGGCGAGGTTGAAGAGCCGGAGGGTGGTCCTCCTTTTCACAGTAGGAGTTTACCCGGCGTGCATCCCACACGAGGCGACCTTTTGTGCTGAGAGTACGGTCCGGGAGCCTCTTGGGGACCCTAGCTAAGGGTGCTGAGATCACTCCGTCCAGTCAGTTTGGGAGTTTCGAGAGTCAGTAAAACTCTTCCTCGGGAGGCGTCCTTCCAGATTTGCTCCCCAGCTTCCTCAACGTGCCCTTGCAGGCTCGGGTGGGGGAGGGCCTTCACTCTCTCTCGCCCGACCCCACTCACGCAAGCTTCAACCCCGTGCTTGGCGACTTCCCGTGCCTCCTTCAGCAGCGGCGGTGGGACCAGCCCCTCCAGGTCGGCGCCTCGTAGGCCCTCGAAGTTGTCGGCTCCCGGTCTCTTTTCCCATTCACGGCGGAGGGTCTGACCTGCGGCTTGCCAACCACCTGCGGCTTGAAGGGCGGCAGTGCCCAAACGAGCCCCCTGCGCGAACGCTTCTCGGCAGTATGCTTCCTTCGACGGGCTCCTCAAAGGGGTTTTCTGTCCTGAGGTTAGGGGGGCATCTTTCCCCTTCTTGAGAAGAGCCTCCACATCTCGACTGTAGGCCGGGCGCGTTTCGCGCC